CACACACACACACACACACACACACACACACACACACACAAGCCACACCGCTCTTTCTCTTGCTGTCCATCTCGATTTCCTCCCTCCCTCTCTCTTTCTCACTCGCACACACTCAAAGGCGCACACATACACCCCCTTAGCATGCCCAGACTTGATTACCATCCGGGATATTGGTCTTGTGAAAATCTTAGCTACCAGTCTTTGTCTGTAATGTAGCCTTTGCCTTATGTGGCAGATTTGGAAGGTATGTGTTCTGTGTTGCATCCATTTCTGATGCGAGTCTCATATGGTCTACTGTTGGGCTGGCCATCGTTCTGAATGGTATCTTCACTTTGCAGGTGGCTAGAAGAGATGAACAGGAGCCAAGCAGAGGCTTGCGCAGCACGAGTTTCTGCCGAGAAGAATCGTCAAGCAAACAGAGTTCTTGTAGCCCAGAATGAGAAGCTTAAGGTCAGCTATCCCTAGGAAAGAGCCCTGTCTGTCACCTCATGATCACCTGCCTTCGTCTCCTGCAAGGCAGTATGGGGTATGTTTGTGAGTCTTTGGTGTCTGATTTCCAAGATAGAGTTATTTGTACCAGTTACACCGAATGACTTAGTGGAAAAAGTATTTGTCTCAACATTTCTGTTCGTATGTTTGCGAGTCTTTGGTGTGTCTGATTTCCAAGATAGAGTCATTTGTACCGGTGATGCTGAATGACTTGGTTCCACGTGGAAAATGTATTTGTCTTAACATTACTCGTCGCTGATCTTCTTTCCCTCCCTGCTATTCATCTGTGTAACTTTCCTGGCCCGTGTTTCTTGTACTCGGGAGGAAATGTGGCTCGGGTAAATAAATGACAACTCTCCTAGAATGCTGGTGAACTTATGGGAAAGGGCAATGAGGACAATAGGGTAGAGCTGCTGGATGAAGGTCGGCCACCATTTTCAATGTTGGCAAGGCAACCAATGCCAGGTTGGCATAAGTTTACTCTGAGAGGCACTGAAAAGCTGAGAAGAGAGCAGCAGATTGTGTTCCAGACATGCACGGATGCCCCTAGAAATTAGTGTCACGCTTGGGAAGACACGGCTTAAACTCCACTTGCTTGACCATATAGGATAGGGGCTTTGATCAGTTGTAGAGTATTCGCAGATCAGGTTGCTGAGGGAAGTAGTGTGAAGATGGTGAAATCTTCCCCAAGATATCTCTAGAAATGCCGAATGTGGAGCATGGACAGAGCAAGCTTCATATATTCTGTTGAATGCTGTATGGTGCAAATGGGGAAATCCTCCCCCGGACACATTTGTTGCTGTTCGTGCTTAGTGGATGGTAATGGTGTTTGCTTGCTTTGTCTTGGCCTCTGCATATGTCTTTCGCTTTCGGTTTTTTCTGCATGCCTCTCCAAATATCTTCGACTGGCAATTTACTCTTGACCGTTGTTTGTTTGCCTCTGGTGTACAGGCTCAGGAGTCGTCGTTACAAAAGAGAGTGACAGCACTAGAAACCGACGTAAGGAAGTTGTCAGGACAGCAGAATCTAAGCCAGAGAATTCACCACCATGTCAAAATCAAGGTATATCTCGAGTGTGCTTGGTTCCCGACATCATCAAGTAATCACTTTCTGAAAACTCCTTTTTCCATCTCCCCCCCCTTAGTTTAGCAGTTTGTTTCCCCTCCTCCACTACACCCTTGTTGTCTGCACTTGCATAGCCCGTCTCCAAGCTGCTATTCAGTCTTAGCGTGTTCGAATGCATCAAATGGTTTGCCAAGTTTGCGTTCTCTCGCCCATAGTACTCCATTCTCTACCTCCGTGTCTTTTTCGCAGCTTGCCATTTGTTGTCAGCATGCCTGACTGAGGTCGAATGACTCACAGCTCAGTAATGATGTGCACTTGCCTGCTTGAGAGAGGAGATGTAATCTAGCGCGTGCGTCATCAGGTGCATGATGACAGAACCAGTGCGTTGAAGAGGAGTAAGGATGGAAACCAGCACATGTTTCATTTACGGTGGAAGCTTGGTTGCATGGTGACTGATAGGGTGATTGGTTGGTTGCAGGAGGAGAACAACAAACTAAAGGCCGAAATGGAGGCACTTGAAATGAAGTCTCGCAGAGAAGGTCTGTACTTGGCTAGGGCCTTGGAGGAACTTGCCAAGTATAGAGCAGCTGAAGGAAAACTCCCTGAGCTGAATTTTGATGAAGAGCAACGGCTCCGCCAGAAGTTGCAAGAAGTTGAAGAGGAAAAGCTGCAAATTGCACGCAATCTGAACAATTTGTGCCAGTCTATTTACCAGGCTTCAGGAGCAGGTCGCTTCGGGGTCCCGACGCTCGCATCTGCCATGGAAGCTCTGCAGGCAATGATTGTGCGAACGGAATCTAGTGAGCGCGAGTTGGCAAGCCTGAAGCTCCAGGTACTTGCCAAACATCCTCACGATGTCTTAAAGCAAAAAGTGTGATTGCAGTCCCTTGAATCTCTCAATACGAATGCAATCCCTCTTGCCACCACCACATGGAGGGGCACTTACCAGACTCAGTCCCGTCTGACTTTTCTAACTATACCAGAGTTCTTTTCAGCATTATTGTCCCTCTCAGTTTTCAAATTTTGAACTCGTGGTCTGTTTATAGCATGTGTGTGCTGCGCAACTACCAGACAGGTTAGACTCATTCGCGTTATGTATCGGTCTGTCCCCCTCCATGTGTGCCTCATTCCAGCTATCACACTGTTTCCTGTGCTGCCTGCCCTTGTGCCTTTTGTTGCTTAGGGTGTCCTTGAGGCTGTGGGAGACGGGGTTCAGAGTCCTTGACAATGATGGCCCGCTCAAAGCTTCCTTGAATTATGGCCGATGGACCCTGAGACTGGGGGGGGCATTGATTGCTGGCTTTCTGAGAACTCCTGTGCGGCCTTCCATTATGCCTCCCGCGCAGGGAATCAACGAGGCTGCGGGAGATACATCCCTTTTTTTTGTACGTCAAAGTTTATTACGATTGCTGGAAACGGGGTTCACTGTCCTTGAAAATGATGGGTGATGGACCGCTGATACTGCGGCTTTGATTGCTGCCTCTCTATAAAGGATTAACCACTGCTCTGCCCGTGTTGCTGACCTCCATCTTTTCTCCTCTTTCTCCTCTCCGCCTCACCATGCTGCCGAAAATTCCCCTCTTTCCTAGAGCTAGCATAGGTAAGCGGTGTAGATTGGGCCCACAATCGGCACCATATATGTAAGAGTGGGAAGGATTAACCTCGGTGAGCCAGCTTGCTTAGGACTTAGTTTAATCAATCAATTTAGCCTGGATCACTGTGGTGGCATTTATCAACTTTTCACGAACTATGTTTAATCAACTTTAATGGTGATTTCATTAAATATGTCAGTTAGTTGTGTGCTTTCCATGTCGCTTTAGGTCTAATACCTCGCCCAGGGTGTTTATTATCCTTGCTGGGGAATGTAATCCCACTCACAATTCTGTTTCTCCTGCTTGTTGTGTTTTTGGTTTGTCATTCCAATGGTGGTGGATGGTGGCTTTGGGGTGAAACACTCTGGTGGTTGACTGTGTTCATCAGGCTAAAATTGTGTCTGAAAGACGTCAGCTAAGTGAGTTGCGGTCAGCAAACACTCCACAGAAATCGATGCCAGTGTCCTCCTCTCCGTCAAGATGTTGATGATTGACAGGGAAGGAGTATATTTGCTGTGGAAGAGACTGCGTTTGGGAACTCCGCACAGTTTTACATATGTAAAGTGTGTTGGACTATGGATTAGCGTTCGTGCAGAATGATGTCAACGCCGGCTCAGGAGATGCAAAGCAGCGAACATCAATCATTGCACGAAAACACGAAGATTCTAATCAAGCTTCTGTGTTGCTGCGAACTTGTCTTTCTGGAGTGAAACGTCAGTCTCGTAATGTGAAATCGAAGACCTGGTAGTTTCTGTTTTGCTGCCGACTCGTCTTTCAGGAATGAGAGAGCAGTATTATGATTCAAGATCGAAGATGTTGGTAGCTCCTGTTTTGCTACCATGGCATGCAGGCAACATTTACGTCTGGAACCGCCGGTATGTATTTTCATTTCTGCAATAGGATAATGTATATAGGAGCTAGGAAGAGAGGCAGCTTGTTTTCTCATCAAACACCTGGATTGGTATTGGTTCGCGAACTTCTCAGTGCTATCCTCTGTGCAATTGTTAAATAAGTCAAGGGGGCTCTCCTTTCTCGAACCTCAAGTCCCTTCGTTTTTCAGTGTGGTTGTTGCACTTTGCTGTTATCTATCGTTGCACACAGACATGTGCAGATCACACACATTTGCAGGATGCAGCTTCCACGCCCTGCCTTGGGCTTTTCTCTACGGTAGTGTAGAGGTTTCATTGCATGGGTTGGTATTCATCCCCGTGGTGGAATGCTCCTATATACCAGGTTAGAACCTGGCTGAACAGTGCTTCACTTCAAGAAAGCGCTGTGTGAAATGGTGCGCTTGTGACATCGGCACTGGTTTAGACACCCGCTGCCGCTAGCAGCAGTTAGCCGTGATTTGCTTGGCATCTGCTTTTTTGCAGACCTAGTACTTCGAGCTGATGTCACTGAGTAGTGGACGAAAGGCTAAATGTTCTCATGCATGGAGAGATTCGCCTTTCAGACTGCTGGGCTAAGGGCCATCTACTCAAATTCTTCACGTCATTTCTACATGCAGCATCTGTCGCAACATCCTGATTCAGAACAAGGCATACCTCCTGGTACCGTGTCTCTTTAATGTAGTGTTGGGCCATTGGACATCATTTGTCCTGTGCAATGGTTGGTATCCATCTTCCCGTGCAAATGCACATTGTGCCATATCTTGGATTTTGTGTTTACCTGCGCTTGCGACTCCAGAGTGTGGTCTCTCTCTCTCTCTCTCTCTCTCTCTCTCTCTCTCTCTCTCTCTCTCTCTCTGTGTGTGTGTGTGTGTGTGTGTGTGTGTGTCTGTGTGTGTGTGCGTGTGTGTGTCTGATGAAGGTATGGTCACATAGGCGCAAGGTTTTCAAGCGGCATGATCTGGCCAATCAAGACAGGGGATGTGGTGTTTGCTTACCGCAGTTGCATCCTTAGTACGATCACATTGTGAAGCAACTTCTGCCACCGTGGGCGCCATATCATCTCAAGCTTGATTTCGCTCCCCTTTTTTCTGTTGCCTCTTCANTCTCTCTCTCTCTCTCTCTCTCTCTCTCTCTCTCTCTCTCTCTCTCTCTCTCTCTCTCTCTCTCCACAACTGACGTATACAAGCCAGTTGAGCTTCCAATGAACTGGTCTTGCATAATTTTGAGGGGTTGATCTCGGGGGCGTTTTCTCTTTTTTGTTTTTCACAGAGAGAAGTACAGGGAAGTAAGCTGAAGTTCTGAATTGACTCGCATGTGGTGCAGGCTGAAGAAGACAGACAAAGAACAAATATTTAATTCTTTACCCTTTTTTGAAGGGCGGCAGCCTTTAGATATCATCATTGAACTGACCGACCCCAGGCAATTCAGAACGATGGTATTCTTTTCATCTGATAGTATCTGGATTCGAACTCGGACCTTCCTTTCAACAGGCAATTCAGGGGTGTTGCCTGGGGTCGGTATTCTTTTCATCGGCAGCCTTTAAATATTCAATAGTTGCGACTGGGCTAGGCCCGTTGGTGCAACTATTGAATTTTGATTCGTCTGTGACATTATATCTTACCTATGCTATTAAAGTTTATCAGCCACGGGCGCTGACAAATCCCAGCGTCACCAACCTGGGGCGTGCGATTGAGAAAATCGACGACTGATATTTCTTGTGAAAAGCTTTGTTTTGTCGACACTTGGTTGTGCGGTTGGTGGACAAGTGGATAGGCTGCCTGGTCGAGAAAAGTGTCAGTGAAAGGAGAGGGCTTGTGCAAATTCAGAGATTTTCTGAGATCGTCAGAATGGATACCGCCATCGTGAGGATCTGTCAGAGTTGGTGTGGTGTGAGCGACGGGTGTTCATACCTTTTACTGTGCGGTGAATGAACACGGTTGTGTTCTGGGGAAGGTGCATTGGAAAATGAAGACAAAACCAAATGATTTTGAGACCCAGTAGATGTCAGACGTTAGAACGTGGTATGGTTTTCAGATGTTGCATTCTTTCGTGTTAATGAAACGGGCCGCATCTTAAGCTGGGTTTATTTGAAAAGTACGTAGTGTGCAAGGGCTGATTTCGTAAAATGAAAATCGAAATGATTTCTGACAGCGACTGTGTCAGGGATTCTGAAGATGTGGTGTGTGCTTCAGATGTAGCAATATTGTGTGAGGGAACGGGGTTGCGTTCTTAGGCTTGGTTTGTCCGAAATGGAAGAAGTGTGAAACGGCGATCTAAGGAAAATCAAAAGCGTAATTATTTTTCAAAAAAGAAAAAATTGGAATGATTTCTGACACGGAGCACTTGTCAGAGGTCGAGAGATGGGGACCGTGTTTCTGATGGTGTTATGTGTGGGTGAATGAATCCAGTCGGGTCTTAGTCCGGGTTCTCTGCAATTTTGTTTCTTGGTTGTCTTCTTCCTCTTCTTCTTCTTCTTCTTCTTCTTCTTCTTCTTCTTCTTCTTCTTCTTCTTCTTCTTCTTCTGCTTCTTCTTCTGCTTCTACCTTCTTCTTCTTCTTCTTTTTCTTCTTCTTCTTCTTCTTCTTCTTCTTCTTCCCCATTTGATTGTGCCGTATACTGTTGTTGTTGTGTGTGTTATATTGTGAATGGGTGCTTTGACTGCAATTGGTTAAAATCTAGGTAGCAAATCCGCATATCCGGACACCCTTTAATTTTCCGGATTTGCAAGGCGGATGATACCGCCCGGATGAAACCGGATGAAGTATATCCGGATGGTAAAAAATATGGTACTTTTCCAAAAAAACAAAACATCTAAAAAAAATCTGAAAACGAAGTATGTTGTAGATTATGACAACACCAACAACATTTGGCTGGAGGTCATTTCAAAATTCCTCTCCGATCTAGATAAAAAAATAAAAACCAAAAAACTTGAAAAAATGTTTTTTTTTTTTTTTTTTTTTTTTAACAGGGCCTTACGGTCCTGGCTCCTTTCCATTCTGGGGAGCGTCAGTCCGGTTCCTACTCCACCGGCAAGTCAGAATGAACTTTACATTATGAACAACACACGCTTCCTTCCGTCTGGCCGAAGGACCCCTCAACAGCATTGATTACTCCAGACCTCTGGAGGATTGACTGTCAGCTTGCCATGTTTCACTCTTCCCTCTCGGATCAAATCCCAGATCTGCCAGATCTATCCCTATCAACAAGAAAGAGCTACCCCACCAATCTTTTTTATTTATGTTACCCTTATAAGGGTATGGTCATTATCTTCAATGCTAGACCTTCATCTTGGCTGAGACTTCTCAGGGTGGGTCTCCGCCTGCTCCATAGTGCCTTCCTTCCTCTTGTCGCCATTAAAACTGTCCACTCCTCCGACCCCCTTAATCTCATCCTTCCACGTGGAGTTTTCCTTCCAAGGATCTGATCCCATAGCTAAAACCCTTTAAACCCCAAACCCTTCCACTGCCAACCATTGGATAATCCTCTTGAAAGCTGGCCCACAGGCATATCCTATCCATTCCTGTTTTCTTCGGTATCATCTGAAGACCCCTGGTCCTCATTCTTAAATCCTGCTCGAAGCCTCTCTTCTCTGGCTTGCTGCGGCCATCAACCTGATGTACTTTGGCGCAGTCCTGCACCACCCAGATCCCTGTCAATTGAAGGCGTCTAAAACCCACTCCACTCACTACCTCACGTTCCCGATCTTCAGCAGACTTGAACCCCTACCTCAAGAGCTGATTTCTCCAGCATAAATCCGAGTTGTGCCAGTCCTTCCATCGTATGTGATTATTCCTCAGCTCAGCCACTCTGCCATTTAAAAGCCATAGCCTGGTAAACTTCATTCTGATCCTATCCTATTATGTTGCTCCTCATCCTCGGGCATCGCTTGACTCCTTCGCCATTTACAAAGGATTTCTGCTTGTATCATTGTCTTCGTCTCCGCCCATACTTTCTCCCTTGCATTGGAAAGCCCTTCAATAGTTCTGCAGCATCTCTCTTTCCAAATGACCCACAAAGTCACCTTTCTGATCCAATCCGAACCACAACCTCTCTGTCTTTTGACGCTGGAACGGGATGTTAGTCCAGAGGAGAACTTGGATAGGGTGCTCGGGGAAGGGGGAGAGAAATAGGGAGTCCCACAGGGCTGAAGCCCTCGCCCAGTATTCTGTCGCTTCCCTACAGTGGATCAAGCAATGTACTATGTTCTCTTGAGCCACTTCCGTACAAACTGTGCAAAGGTCCGTGCTGTTGGGGTCATTTCTCTGTCTTCTAGCATGCAGCCATTGATTGACCGGGAGGGCTGCATAGGCAATGGGCCACTGCAAACTCCTGATTTTTATGGGTCTGATGACTCTGATGGATTTGAAATTTTCCCATGGGATCTGGGTAATTTTGTCAGCCTCTTGCCCTAACAGCTTCTGCCATCTGCTCTTAATTACCGGGTCTGTGTCCTTTGTTCTTAGGAAGAGCTTATATCCCAGTTTAACTGTGTACTCATGGATGGGGATATTGGCCTTTATGTTCCTTTCTCTGTTAGGTGTCCATGCCCACTCCTTCGGATCAAATTCCAGGTTACGGATCACGGTGTCTGGTCTGAAAAGTAACTTTGGCCAAGATCCTAGTACTCTTTACTTTCTTCAGAAGAAAGCAATCCATGACTAACGATTCGACCTCTCTATTTAATATAGTTGCCATACCATGGTTGGAGGGGGAAATCGGGAAGGAGGAAAAAAAAGCGCAAGTCTTTGACCCTTGTTGCATGTGGGAAAATTGGAAGGCCCTTAAGGGGGTTATTTCTTGCACCTTCACCCCCCATTGTGCAGGTTTCCACTGCGAATCCTCATTCAGGAGGTCTTTCCAATCCTGAGGGATAAGGCCAATAATATACGCCAGGTTTAGTCCACGTCTATGACACCCCTTCAGTCGTATGCTGAGCTCTTGTTCCGTAACCCATTCCTTCGTTTCCTCCTTCAGTAGGTGCCCAACCTTCCAAACCCCATTTTTGACCCATGATAACCATTTATGTTCCAGCTGAAGGGGGTTGTCCCCTTCATCTGTCACCCATTGGTTGCCAAACAACGGTTGTCTCAGGACTTCGTCTTTGGACCGTGGTCTGTTTGTCTTTTTAGGCAGGATTTCCCTCCATATCCGAAGCAGGGTCGTCCAGTATGGGGAGGGAGGCCTGGCTTCTACAGCCCCGAGCCTTGTTCTTGCACTTCTCCGTCCCGTTCTCAGATTCCATTCCTTTGTCATTACCCAGAAGAGACCCGTCATGTCGTCTGGCGATGCTACAGGAGCCATCGTTCTGATGCTGTCTAAGGCTAGTTTGTTCCATGCACTATCTGGCTTCATCAGGAGTTTGATTATCCACTTGGCTTGAAGGGCTTTTGAGCCTTTTGTTTCCTGTTTAGGGTCTATGATTCCTAGGCCCCCTTTTAGCGGTTTCCTTGTGATGTAATGCCATGCAATTTTGGGTAAACAGTTCTCTTTATTCGGGTCTCCTGACAGCGCGCTTTACGGTTGAGATCCCTGATTGAGCTGTCCAGTACCGTCCATATGGACGCTATATACCACATCATAGAGAGTACCGAGGAATTAATAACAAGGGCTCTCCCGAATAATGAAGGGGAAACGTTCCCCCATCTCCCTAGCTTGTTGATCTGTTTGGCTAAGAGCCATCTGTGGGGCCATGCCCTCCCTTGTCATAAGTATGCCTAGATAATGGGTGGGAGTATCTGGGGTTTCCCAGGACATGGCCGCCTCAGGACCTTGTAATAGGGGAGGATCGCCATCTGATAGCCACCGACCAACCGTCTTTTTCCAGTTAATCGTCATTTCTGAGGCCAACCTGAATGCCTCCATCGCTCTAGCCAGAGTTCTGAAAGATGAGTCCGACGCTCTGATCAGAACCGTAAGGTCATCTGCAAACATGATTACCGTCGGGAAGTTCATGTGGTGGGCTGACCCCACATTGATTTCTGGGAGTCTATGAATAGACGGGTCTTTGCGTAGGAATGAGGCAATAGCCTCCATAACAAACAGGGAAATAGAGGGTGCTAGCAGATCCCCTTGTCGGACCGACCCCGAAATTGGGTACCCTTCTGACAATAGCATCGCTATATAAGATGCGCACCCATTTCCTGAAGTTTGGACCCACTCCCATCCTCTCCATACTTGCATCTAAGAAAGACCAGTTCACTTGGTGATACGCTTTCTCAAAGTCAAAGAAAAGGATGGCTGTGTTTATCCCCTCTCTCTAACCTTATTTGCTGCCTCATTAAGGGTCAGTACATTATCCAGAATGTACCTCCCCGGAATAAAGTCTGTTTGATCAATGTGGAAGCATTTACCTGTGATTTTTAC